TCTAAGGTTTCTTTTTTTAGCTATTTTTACCTTTCTTTGAACCTTGGGTCACTTCTCTCCAATACCATTTTGGGGTACTTTGAAGATGAAGGGATGTGGATACTTGGATTCTGGGTATCTGCTGCCTCTGCTTTGGGAGCACTACAGGTACAGGCATTTCAGACCAAGTGGAAACCCTCTCTCCAGGTTCAGTCAAGTCCTAGTAGCTGCAACCAAGAAATGCAACGTTCATATGCCATCTGATGCAGATAGCTTGTACGATGTCAATGCGAATGATCCGTCCATCAATGGCAATAGAAAGATTCTCCACACCGATGAATTCAAGTAAATATCATTCTCCACACCGATGAATTCAAGTAAATATCAAACCATAAATCATATTAACTAAGCGAAAGACAAATTATATAATGCTAATTTATTAATTGATCTTGTACAGGTTATTGGATAGAGCAGCATACATAAGCACAAGAGATGTTGATGATCAGAAGAAGGGAGTTTACATCCAATGGCTTCTCTGTCCCGTTACACAAGTTGAAGAAGTTAAATGCATACTAAGATTACTTCCAATTTGGCTATGCACCATAATTTACTCTGTTGTCTTCACACAAATGGCCTCCCTCTTCGTCGAGCAAGGCGCTGCCATGAACGTTACTGTCTCGAATTTCCGGATTCCTCCCGCTAGCATGTCCAGCTTTGATATTCTCAGTGTCGCATTGTTCATATTTCTTTACAGACGAGTTCTCGACCCGCTGATGAGCCGACTGAGAAAAAAGGATGCCGGGGGACTAACCGAGCTTCAGAGGATGGGAATCGGGCTTGTCATAGCTGTATTGGCAATGGTTTCTGCTGGAATTGTGGAGTGCTATAGATTAAAGTATGCAAACAAAGATTGCATCCATTGTGAAGGGTCAAGCTCCTTAAGCATCTTTTGGCAAGTTCCCCAATACGCATTCATAGGAGCGTCCGAGGTGTTCATGTACGTCAGTCAGCTTGAGTTTTTCAACGCACAAACACCCGACGGGTTGAAAAGCTTCGGCAGTGCTCTTTGCATGACGTCAATCTCGTTGGGGAACTACGTTAGTAGCTTGCTCATGACGATGGTGATGAAGATTTCGACTGAAGATCATATGCCGGGATGGATCCCAGGCAATCTGAATAAGGGTCACTTGGATAGATTTTACTTTCTATTAGCCGGTATGGCATCAGTTGATTTGGTCATCTATATATTATGTGCCCGATGGTATAAGTGTATCAAGCTTGAAGGGAAAACAACGGAAAATGATGAGAGAGGTAGCTTTAAAGTGTGACAGTGTACATCCATTTATAAATAAATTTAAAAAAATCTGAATGAATTGATGAGCTTTGTCAAGGCTAGGCTTCATTGTATGTATTAATGTGTCAAATACAACCGATAAAGATTCCTATATTAATTCTCAAGTCTATTATATATTGACAAATAATATTCTCTTAATTTTGTTTGATATTAAGTTTTATGTTTGGTCTCACATTTTTTTTTTTTGCTTTCTTATCAATAATAATAAAAATCATATTTTGTATGTAGTGAAGAAAATACCCAATCAACTTAATACCATGGAACATGAAATATAGGCTCAACTTATTTTATAACCCAACATTGTTAAGAAAATCTAAATAAATAAACTGGGAACAGTTCTGGACTTCAGAGCCCAAAAAAGAAATATGGGTGTTTTTTGATTTTTTTTAATTTTAAGTTATTTGAGTTTCTTTATTTAAATTATTTAAGTCAACTCAAATTTTAATTTTGGTTTTTAAGCTCGAATCGGATTCAGATTAACCGATTTGAAAATTTGAATTTTTTTGTTTTATAATTTAATCATTGATTTCTTTATTTCTTCAATTTATCCTTTATTCTAAGTCCATTTTTGAAAATAAAATTGAACCAAATACTCTTAAATTTTAGAATACACAAGTAGCTTCAATTTCACTTTTTGAAAAATAATTTCTAATGTTTTTCAATTTAGTCTATTAACTTTGCATGATTTCCTTATTTATTCAATTACTCCTTCATTTTAAGTCCATTTTGATAAAGTTTAAACCACATGCTCCACTAACATTATAGATTATCTAATCACTTCAATTCCTATTATTAAAAAATTATTCTTTTTTCGATTTTATTCTATTTTATTTAATTTGGTCCTTTGGTTGACTTTTTGTAAAAAAAAATCTTTCCATCAAGTGCTTAGACTCTTTTATACCCCATCAATAATTTGTCCTAAAATATATTATTTAAAAATAATATTATAATTTATTTTATAATTGTAGATTTTATTTGATTTATTAAATAACATTATAAATCTTACTTACACATGTGAAGAAGAATATGGAGAAATGTATATGTATATCTTATATGATTAGAGAAAGTTAATTAAACTGAAACTAATATGTATCATAAAATTATAAGAAAAATACACTTAAACTTAAAGAGGAATTTGAACAAATAGACTCGACTCGAATTTTATAAACTCAATCTGACTCAAAAATTACAAATAAACTTCGAATCATAAAATAAGACTCGTTAACTCGACTAACCTAAAAAAATTATTCAATTTAACTCGACTAACTTAATTTCTTTTGAATCAATTCAACTTGACTCGATCAAATACTTCATATAGCAAAAAGCACCGATATGCTTAATTGGTCTATTAGTTTTTGCTTTGATCATTCACCACATCACTATAATAATAATAATAATAATAATAATAATAATACTAATAATAATAATAATAATAATATATGGGGGTTAGAATTTAAATTATAAAAAAAATGATTACCTTGTTTGTCTATCTTTTGGGAAAAATCCATTTAGGTCTTAATACTCTAAATAGTTTTCTACTAATCTGAAACGATTATGTGGTAAATTTGAAAATGTAGTATAATGAAAGTCTTATTATTTATTTCATTATCCTTTTGAGTACTATATCTGTATTATTTTTTAAATTATTAAACTACCCTTATAGTATTAATTATTGAATTGAGCACGATTTTGATGATTGTACTATCCTTGTAATAATTTGATGTAAGGTATTTTCCTAAATTATTATGTGATGTGTAATCGGTCGATGCAATGCTTGATTTTATATTGGTGTAATTTCAGCATGATGTGTAATCTCCTTGTAATCTACCGTGGCTGAACTTGATGATAGAGTTTGGTAGGTCAACTTAGAACTTTTAAAAAGTTTAGAGTTTTGAATTAAAATTTTCAAAAAATTTAAAGGGTTGAATTTATATTTTTCAAAAAAAAAAAAGAATTAGTGATAATTGAAAGTTCAAATAGATATTTCTTTTATCAATTCAACATGTTACGCCGTCCTCTTAATTTAACAGAGTCTAAGGATATGATGATCATTTTGTAATAAAATTATAATTTTAATAATTGATTTATAAATTCAGAAATAAGAGTGGCCAAACAGACCATTTCAGCTTAGTTTGGTGACCATTAGTATAATTTACCATTTATAATACTTGTAAGAAGTCTACTAGGGTTTCTCTCGGTGCCTATAAATACTCTTTAAGTTCTTTTCCTTCTTCATAAGCTCTTCTTTCGATTTTATTTATACCGATGAATAATTATTTTTCTCTTTGTTTCTGTGGGGGTGACTGCGGTGTGATGAACATCATTTCGTCTACCGGAGGAATTATCTTTGAAGGTAACAAAATCCCTCTAAGTTATGCTTTCACCATTCTCCTTAAAAGAAGGATTTCTTTTTTTGTTTTCATTTTTTAAGAAAAGGGGGATAAAAGTGATGTGATGATAGAAATTCAATGGACTGATCTACTAACTTGATGTACATTGAAGTTCCGACAGGTTCTGATCACTTTTTATTCTTCTTTTTTCTGGTTTTCAACTTATAGCATTCTTTATCACTCAAGTTATAATGAATACGCATGTATTAATCATAGCATGGTAGTTTCGTTTCCAAAATAATGTTTGATTAAATTAAGTTGCATTAGATTTTGATAAAAGTTTGTTCTCCCTCTGTACCATGTCATTGTTTTGGGGGTGTTAATTAATTTCTACATTTGATGGGTAATTTGCATCTAATAGTTTTATAGCTACCCGATGTTCTATTAGATAATTACAAATGCTTTGGGGTTTTCTAGATGAATTGCTTTTCAGATTGCTCATTATGTTGTCTTTTTTACTTCACATCCTGAATCTTATTTTTAAGGTTCAGTTATTAAATTTGAAGTTAGCATTGTGGTATATAATAGACATTGTTTTAAATATATTGTTTCATTTACAATTGGTTTAATAATTGGTTGTAGGCTTTAATAGCTGGTGATAGTGTTTTTGTTTAAAATTTAGCATATACGAAGTAATTAGGTCATGCTAAACTTTGAATGAAAGTTATTATTAGTCTTAAGTATACTCTAAATGGTTTGAGCTTCTAACTCCTAATTCCTAAACATGATGGTCACATCATTGAATAGATAATAAAAGCATGAAATTTTTAAAAGCAAACATTTCCATATTATAAAAGAGAGGAGTACAAGATAGTTATTCTAAACTTCATAAATATTAAGCGCGAACACTATTTTCACAAAATTTGTCACGGTCTTTTCTATTTTCATCATTCCCTAGCTGTTGTATCCCGAGGTTATATTCATTTTAATTCGAGGTGATCATTTTTTAAAATATCACTTTCTTTTATGCCTATATCCATTTGGAATCTATCTCAGCATAGGGTAAATAACGCCAAGATTTGAATTAATTGTTAAACCGAAATACGAGAAACCACTTAAACAGCCTTACACACAGTATGCAAAACCATTAATTTACCATAACTGTACATTTAAAATTTAGTCTACATGATTGTAAAGCTCCTCTGCTCTAGCTGAAAGCTACCTTCTCCGACGGACTTTCCAGAACAATACTGCACACCCTTTAAGCTATAAAGCTAAATATTGTTAACAACTTTCAAAATGTTTACGGTATAACTAAAGAATTCAAAGGATGGCTTTCAGAAGGGATTACCGCTGCACAAACAGGCACAATAATAAGCTAGAGCATCCGGACACTTGAATTCCAGTAATCTATTTGAAAATAAGAGAAATGTAAATTAAAATTTTCCAAGTGCAGAAACATAATATAGATTATGATAAGCATACCCATGGAGATTTGTTCTTGTCTCTAATAATTTAGCTATTGTCTCCATTGCCCTTCTTTTTGTATACGCATAAGTTGTATGGTCTGAGACAACAATTTGCATCAACTTGTGTTCATCTAAATCGTTCCACATATCATTTTCTCGAACCTGAAAGCGGCACATGTTTAGAACAATGGACATCGGTAATATATGGTTTCTAGGATACATAATTTACTGTAAAAGGCATGCAATATCATATGGAATCGAATATCATGAGATACCCAAACTGTCCCAGTCCCATAGCAAATAACTTGAGCATAAGCTTCACAAAGGCCAGCTTCTACCCATTCGGACTGCAACGCATAAATGATAATTAGAAGATGGAAAAAAAATGCGTGCAGCATTCCAAGGGAAAAGATGCAATTGTGGTGTTTCGAATATCAATATACCAAACTAAGCAAGATATTATTAACACACAAGTTTGTTAGCTGTTTCGTTGATATCTCGATCTTCTATACACAGCTTTCCATGTCTTCTATAGCCATAAATACATTCCACCTCGCCTTCATAACATTCCCCATTACTTGGACAAGGCTCGCAAGAATCTGTAGTGAGACACATTTGTCTTTAGATTTTTGAAATCAATCACTAGGAAGCAGGGAATTTGAAACTAGAATTACGTAGTATCATGCAAGTATATATATACACGCACGTACATATATGGCTAAAGCTAAAGCTACAAAGAAACATGGAAGAAAGTGCACATAGCTAAACTACAAAGAAAACCAAATTAACAGCAGAAAATGGATGAAAAATCATAAGAAAAGATACCCAGAAAGAAAAGTTGAACAAAAAACGAAGGAACACCACAAAAGAGATAGAGAAGAAGAAGAAGAAACCCAGCAATTACCAGAGAGAGAATCGGCGGGGTCTACGTTAGTATCGCAAAAGGTTTTTGAGGTGGCAAAGAAGTCACAGGAGAGAGCTACTGCGGATGCGATGGCGAGTACGGCTATGAGCCGCAAGAACTCTCCTTTCGAAGGGAATAAGCTCTGGGGTGGCTCGATTATAGCGCTTAATGAAGACTTTGAAGCAGATGATGGAGAAGACGAATTGTGCTCCGATTTTGAACGCTTTTTGGGCGTTGAAGAAGGCATTTTCGAGGTTACATCGACATCAACGACGTTAATTTCGTTTAACTATTCACTGCTAAAAAGAGGGAAGGAAAGAAAGAAGAACAGAGCATGGCGTTCCTTCATTTGATTTCCCCCCTTTTTTCTGTAACAATTTGAATAGAAAACTAATCGATTTTGAGGCATTTTCTTCCCCAAGGCCCAATTCTTTCCTAGTTTCCACCATCAAACAACCTGTTTTGTTTTCGTCAAATTACGGTTTGTCATGTTCAAATTTGATATAACTTGGCCTCTTTTATTTTCAATTATCATAGTTAGGCCTGGATTTTATTTTAAATTACAATTTTAACTTTTTAAATATGTTGAAATTTTAAATTTAGTCATTATATATATTTTTAAGGCTAGAACCACATGGATTTATTTTTTTAGCTTAATGCAAAAATAAAAGCACAATATATCTAAATTTAACTTTAGTGCTTACAGAATTTTTCAGTCTGATACTTTTTCGCAGCTTGATATAATTCAAAGGGTCCTCCGAGTTTTTGTAATAGTTCAGGGCATAAGATGAGTCTCTCTAATACTGATATCTTCTTTTCAAAGAATGAGATAGAGAACCTGCGGGTAGAGATAACTAGTGGATTCCAGTTATCACAAGTTGATGAATTAGGAAAATATCTTGGGGTACCTCTACATCGACGGGTTACGCACGCTGCTTATAATTATCTTATTCAGAAGGTTCGGGATAGATTAGCCGGTTAGAAGATAAAATCCTTATCTCTGATGGGTCAGGTTATTCTTGCTAAATCCATCTTAATCGTTTGGCTATGTATACAATGCAGACTTGTTATCTCCCTAAAGGTATTTGTGAGGAGATAGAGCGAATAATTAGAAACTTTATATGGGAACATTATGAGGATAAAAGGGATGATGTATGTCAACCCGTGGAGTTGGGTGGTCTTTGGGTGTGTCGATTACACACTCAGAAGAACAAGGCCTCTCTAATGAAGTTGGCTCTGTTTCTGTCTGATAAAGAATGTCTTTGGGCGCGCGTCCTACCAGTGCTGGATGTATGTGTTGTTCAGGTGGGCACGTGTTCACCCTGAAATTCAAATTTTTTATGTTAGTTATCAATTTTATTGAAGGTTCTCAGTGCCCACCCTAAATTTTTTTTTGTATTTACCCCATACAAAATTTATTTTGTTATTAATACATATGTGTCCGTCCTGAAAAATATTTTTGGATCGGTCACTGCTTACTACCAACTAAATATAAGGTTTTTAGCGCTATTGAGACAATTGTTAGGCAGGGTTGCTCTTGACTATGGAACGGCGTTCGAATGAGAGTTGTTTTGGAACCTTGACGATGGGTCCTCCATTGATTTTTGGAATGATGTGTGGCTGGGTGATCATGGCCCTTTATTAGACATTTGATACAACGCACCTTAAGGCTGGTTTCTCTTCCACTATTGTTTAGTCCATGGTGGCTCCGGATGAGGATTGACAGTGGGATTTGGTACGTAATGCTCTGTCGGATACAACTTTACTTAGCCTCGCAGTTGTGAAACTTCCATTGTTGAATGGGGGTGATGACACGCCATCTTGGAAATGGGAGCAATCTCGGCGTTTTACGGTTTCTAGTGAATATGCACGTGGCGAGGGTGGTCATGCTGGTTTGGATGTGCAACTTTGGTGTCTAATATCGAAGTACCGTGGCCTCCTGCAGGTTCAAATGTTGTTTTGGTTAATGGGAAGGGATCGCCTTATGATAAAGGCAGAACAGGTTCAACGCCTCCTTTCGGACAACCCAAGCTATACTTGTTGTGGTGTTGCCATGGAATCCATCTCTCATATTTTCCGGGAATGTCCTATTGTGCTCACGGTTTGGAACGAGGTAATCAAGTCGGAGTTATTAAACCAGTTTCTCCGTATGGACTTGGCTTAATGGCTTCGCTTGAATTCGCAACATTCGATGTATTTTTTGGTGCACGGGAAAGATTGAGACCTAATTTTTTCAGTTCAATCATTTGCTGTCTTCGGACTCGGAGGAACCGAGCGATTACTGATCACACGCTTCGTGTCCGTCCTCGACGGATTGGAGTAAGTTGAACACTGATGGAACCGCAAGATTACCTCGGGCTTAGCTGCATATGATCAATAAATCATGGATTTTACGAAAGCTAGAGGTCGCTGTTCGATGCTAGATTCGGAGTTGTGGGGCATATTGATATGTATAGGTTTGTGCAGAGTTCAAAATTATCTGAATTTATAAATTTATTTTCTAAACTACACGAGTTTTTTTTCCCGAAATAATTTGCAGAAAATAAAAGAGTTCAAAATTATCTGAATTTATTTGGAAAAAATGAAAGAATTTGTGATTTTTAAATTTTATTTTCGATGCCATCCAAAATTATTTGAAAGAGAAAGAATTTATTATTCTTTAAAATTTTCGAAGTTGTCCAAATTATTTGGAAAAAGAAAAAAACTTTTGTTTTTTTAATATTATTTTCGGAGTTATGCAAAATCATTTTTAGAATAGAGGAGATAATTTATGAAAACCGTTCGGGTTTGGAGAAATCTATAGTTGGCGTAAACTAGAGAAAGTGACGTGGGGAAATGGCAAGTGGTAAGTGTGGGTTTTTATTAAATTTATATGAGTTATTAATATACGTTGATTCTCCTTCCATGATACGATATAATGATAACTTTATTAATTGATCATTTGGGGGTTGATCCACATAACTGAAAGTAGCCAGACCAATTAATGATCATGTATTATAATTGTGTTGTATTTTTGTTTATTTATTATAATTAGAGATGAACCAAGGAAAAAGTGAGTGAGACAATTCTCTCTTAAAAATTTTAAATTCCTATATATTTTAGATGTATTTTTTATTTTTAATTAAAATTTTATAAATTTATTATGTCTTAAAATTGTATAATTCATCCTCAAATTAAAACCATGAGTATGTCCCTAATTATAATTTAAATTAAAAATGTATTTACATAAACACAAAATATTTAAATAAATTTATTTAATTTACTTATAATTAATCTTCTAAATCTCGGGCGTAGCCGGGATTGGAACTAGTTTTAGTAAAAAGGAATCCCATTTACAGCAACCGGGGTTAAAGGCTGCAGTGAAAAAATCCCTGTGCAGTTGGTAAACTTCTAAAGAGGTTAATTGGTGGTGCAGTTCAGGTTTGGACGTACTGGGGGATAAATGAAATGATTTCAAAAACTAAAAGAATGATGTTTCTAGAAATTTTCAATTCGAGTAGCATGTCTATAGAAAGGTTTAAATGTTTATTATGAAAGGTTATTAGTTACGGTAAATAACCTGAGATATTGAAGTAAATTATTGGACTACTTTTTAGTCTAGAGACCTTTTAACATAAGAGGAGGAAACATCAATATGTGGTAAGAATATTTTCATCTTTTATGATTTTCCTTTCCTTTCCTTTATGCTTCCTTTCAGGCTGAATTTCAACTTATGAGTTAAGGAACTGATCATGAAACAGAAGACTCTAAAACATACAAATAAACCCATTACTTATGAGAAACAAAAACTGCAAAAAAAAAAAAAGGTGTAAAATTACTTTCTATAACACAATTTTGCTTAGTTATTGATGTGACGCTAAATTTTATCATCGTTTTTGGACCATGTTAATGAATGCAAGAGAGATTGCCGTCAACTGAAAGAAATCGCCGTTCTCTTTCGTCAACGGCGACACCACTCCTTCCTTCTCCTTGAACTGCTCTTCACAGGTGTCAGCTGCATCCATAGCGGCACTTATCTCCGAATTAGCCGTTCCATAATCTTTGCCCTCAAAAGCCTGCTCCCCACTTTTTAAATTCGACCCTGCATCAGAGTAAAGCTCGGAGCAATCTTCCAGGCAGGTCCTCGCATACTGTTCGAGGCTTTTGTTACTCAGGAGCTTCGATATGATGGACCCGATGCTCGTCGCATTCGACATGGCGGTATCGATCGCGACGTCGACCAAATCTGCGACGCTGGTGGCGCTTTTGGCTTTGGGATCCACTTGGAGGCTCGATACGCAGAAGTCGAAGTTTATATTCGGATCGCCCTTTGCAGCTTGGCTGCAAGAATCATTGAGGACATCGGACCTTACAGAAACGATCAAAAGGTGGAAGAAAACAATACAAGAAATGAGGTAATTTTTCATCTTTGGGTGTTTAATATTTCTTTAGAGAACTCGTATGAAGATGATAAGAAAAAGCTCGGAGATGCAAATGATTATATGGAGTTGAAATGGGGTTGTGCATTAATGGTGATAATTTTAACAATGGGAAAATCTGAAACGTAAAATGGAGTGACTTTCTGTTCAGATTTTTGTTGTGTTTTTTTGGATTTTCAAGATTCTTCCGTTAAAGAATGGCAAAGGCCATCTTCATCTTTGAAATCTATTTTGGTAAGCAATCTATATGTATTCAAGGTTGGCCGCCATTCTCAGTAATGTGAACTGTCATGGTAATATTCCATCAAAATAATAATATATGGCAATATTATAAAGGGTAAAATACACAAATGGTCCCCCAACTATTAAAAGTTACAAAATAATAATCTGACTATACGGTGTTACTTTGTTGAGCCTCTTGACTATTAAAAGTTACAAAATGGTTACCCGACTATTCATATGTTCCAAACTCGTCCTTTTTCGATAAAAAAATTGACAGTCGTCACGTTAACATGTTGTCTAAGATATGATAGTCGTTTGAGATTCTAAGATTATATTTTAGCATATCTTAGTCAATAGGTTAACGTCAAGCTCAAACTGTCATTAATTTTTTAACCGAAAAGGCCGAGTTTGAAACATATGAATAGTCATGTGACAATTTTATAACTTTTACTAGTCAAGGGACTCAACAAAGCAACATCCTATAGCTGGAGGACCATTTGTGTACTTTACCCTATTAAAAAATCAAAATTAATACATTATAATCCAATTGGTTCAATTACTTTAACAGTTATCCCCAAATCATCACGATGCTTCATTAAGAAATTTGGTTCATGAATTGATCGATACATATGCAATCTCAATTACCAAATTCTTATTTCGGTAATTTTGGATGCTTACTTTATGAAATTATGATTCTATTTCTATATTTTGTTAAAATTTAAAATTTAGTTTTTATATTTTAATTTGATATAATTTAATGTTTATTTTTAAATACGTTCTTCTTCAGTCAAATTATGGATTGGAGTGTTTATTTTTAATGTTTATTTCAGTAATTTAACGTTTATTTTTAAAATTTAGTTTTTATATTTTAATTTGATTCTATTTCTAGATCGATTGGAGTGTTTGAAGATGGCCCCGACTCACCAAGAAATCCCAAGAAGCACAGACGGCTAGTCAAGGAACCACCGGACAAGGGCGATCCTGAAAAGGAATATTTCTTTACCTTTGTAGTAGTCTTAACTCACACTATAGGTACAAGAACCAAGATATATAAGTTATTAAGAGAATGATTATTATTTATAAAGCTCTAGGTTTGAGTATTAGAGATTCTAAAAGTATTTAAGCTTTCATTACCAATTAATTAAGAGTTTTTATTTTGAAAATTTATGTGTATCAATATATACACATAACAATAATTTCAAGATGAATTGAAAATTGCACGAATCAACTTACCTCAGTAGTTAAAAAAAATCACTGTTGTTCCTAAAGGTAATGGGTTCGAGCACCAGCGACCGTAAGGGTGATTGGACTTTCATTATCAAATGATTGAAAGTATTTAGAACAAATATTATTTTATAATCACCTTAGTTTAATAAAAAAATAAATTGAAAATTTTCTCATGTCACTCGATTCTGATTTGCGATTTTCAGTGTTATTAAAACCGGACCTGATCGGCCGGTTCAACCGGTTGAACCGTGAACCGGTGGCTTGTCCGGTTCGGTTAACTCCCAAAACCGGATGAGCACAGAACCGATAAAGAACTGGTAGAACCGGCTGAGAACTGGCAAAACCGGGGTGAACCGGCTGAAAACCGGCAAAACAGATGTGAACCGCCGGCTCTCTTTTTTTCTTTAAAAAAAATTAAACCAAACGACGTCATTTGTTAAACGAGCCGAGTCGAACTCGAGTACTGTTGAGCTCGACTCGAACTCGAAAACTTTAAAAGTAAGCTCAACTTGTAACATCCCAAACTATGGGTTAGTGACCAAATTGTAAAGTTTCAGAATTTGGTGACTAAAGTAGAAGAATGAATTAGTTCAGTGATTTATTTGGAAGTATTTCCTAAAATTTGTTAGTAATTATTAAAGGAACTAAAGGGTAAAAATGGTCATTTGATCATTTAAGGAATTAAAAATGTGATAGTGGGGATATATATTTTTACACGTGGGAGTGTAGGAAACCAAAAACAATGTCTCCAGAATTCTCTTCTCCTCCTTTCTTCTTTGTGCGTGAAGCTCCAGCTCAAAGGTGAGTTTCTTAATTAGTTGGTTATTTGTTGAATTAAAAGTTGGGTTATGATTCTTAGGTGATACTTAAGCTTAAGGAAAGCTTAAGTTATCTTAAGATCAAAAGATAAATGAGTTGGGAAGATTAAAGATTTGCAGTTCTTGAGTGAATTTCCAGAATGGAGTTGATAAGTTGAACTTGAAACTAAATTTGACTTGTCATCAGCTTAATTAAGAAGTATTAAGTGTTAGAATTAGATTTGAAACATGTGGAAAATAGGGTATGATTCTTGAAATTCCTAAAGAGGAGAGGATATTAAGGTTAAAGATGAGATAAATGAATATTAATGAGTTTAAGTATGTATATGTAAGTTAGGAATATGAAAGGGGTTGAAATATGAAGGATTTAATCCAAAAAGAATGAATTTTCGGGTTCAAAAAGAGGATTCTGGGCAGAGTGCATCGATGCATATTCATAGTGCACCGATGCATCAAGGTTAAAACCCAGAAATTGTTTGAAGGTGGTAGTGCATCGATGCACTCTTTTAATCTAAAAACACTGAATGCAATTGGTGCATCGATGCATAAGGCATGCATCGATGCATCCCAGTAATAAACAAACATCGAATGTATTTTATGCACCGATGCACAGGTAGTGCATCGATGCACCGATAGGGAATGCATCGATACACTGTGCAGTGCATCGATGCATACCTTCATTAAAAGATGAAATGGGCTTTTCTTTTAGCCTAAGAAGTGACAATTTAGAAGATATCAATTAGTATACTGATATGTATCAATGTATTATTATGATGTAGATATAGAATAAAGCTTGTTCCGGAACAATCTAAGGATTAAGATTGATTCAAAGCAAACAAAGTTAAGGTGAGTGCATATTCTCTAGTATATGAGGTTCAAGGGAAAATAAGACTTGTGATAAGTCTATTTCCAATAGTGAAAAACATGAATTCATAGAAGTATGTATTTGTTATGATTTATATGTGTGCATGAGTATATGTTTATGTGATAACATGATAAGATGACAATGATTTACATGTCATATGAACACATGAGAAATGTTATGAGCCATATGAAAGAGAAAGTATATGTGATACATGAGGGTGAATCCTATGTTTATATGAATGAACTCATATGAGAATTGACATGAACTACGTGATTACATGTATATGTGAATGAAACCATGAGCTTATATGAATATATGATATGGTTACATGAATATGTAAAAGGATATAAAAGATAATGCCCATGTTATGTGTCATGAGAGCTAGGGGTATAGTCGGCATGCCAAGAGTCGAGGGTCTATGTGGTCCTTCGGGACATATATGTATTCTTTGGAACATGTGTGAAGTCTGGTGAGACACATACTTGATCCTTGGCATATGTATATGATTTTTAAGGAATGATATGTGGTCTTTCGGGACATATATGTATTCTTTGGAATATGTGTGAAGTTTGGTGAGACACATACTTGATCCCTAGTATATGTATATGATTATTAAGGAATGATATGCGGTCCTTATGGACATTATTATATGACAATACGATGCAATTGTACGCGGCACTCCGGTGCAATTATATGTGGCACTTCGGTGCAATTATATGAGCTGTGGTGACAGCATTAGTGTACAACCTCTATGTACTCGGAAATCTTTAGTTCTCACATATGTATCATGGGCTATTAAATAGATAATATTAATAAAGTGATATGATAATATGTTTTTTTCCTTGTGGAATTTCATGTGTGATATTGATTGTACAAATGGTAACTTATAAGACCATATGATGAAAGGAATCAATGATAGTGATAAAATAAGAAAGAAATGAAGATGATAATATAGTTGCTTGGGTGTACGTGTTTTATGATAGTATATATATATATATGGTTTACATGACATGATATGTATATGTGCAATTGGTTATGGTATATGTTATATGATATGAACATAAGAGATCATAGGAACATGAGATAAGAGATATGAATGATAATGACATATTTGTATGCATATATTTGTTACATGTAAAAGTATGAGTGATATGAAATGATAGTAGTAATTGTTTAGGTATGATTATTAGTTACCGTTTACCTTATATGTTTATATGCCTCACTAAGTCTTTGACTTAGCGTGTAAGTGATTTACACGTAGGTTTCGAGAAGAGTAAAGAGCAATGTGGAGCAAGACAGGTCATTTCTCCTTACTAAAGGTCAGATCAGAAAAGATGTGAATAATATGTATTTTAGTATATAAAGTTCTAGTTGGCATGTTTTCAAAAGAATATATTGTTTAAGCTATGAATAGTTTTATAAATGTTTCGAATAGTTATATGTAAATAAATAAGTGAAATATACACGCTCTGATTGGTTTTGTAATAATGAAAATGTCTTTTATGTAAATTAGTCATTTATATGTTATAAAAGTTTTAAATTACTCACTATTTTATACAAGTACATGTTTTAAAAGGTCAATGTGACACCTCGGATTCGTATCCGGGTCGGATACGGGTTGGGGTGTTACACAACTCGACTCAAAAACTCACGAGCTAAAAATTATCAAGTTCAACTCGAACTCGAAATATAATATTGAAACTTGAACTCGAAAAGGCTCAAACTCAAAAAAAATTTAGAAGCTCGATTAAAACCTGAAATTCAAGCTCAATTGAAGCGAAAGAATAATTCGCTCTGTACTCACCAAAAGGCTCCATGATTTTGAATGTCAAATTACCTCTAGTATTTATAGAAGTAGGTTGAGATGCTCTTCTATGTTTCTTAGTCATGTGAGATTGTTTTGTTCTCCTATTTTTACTCTTTAGACTTTTGGGATGCTCTTCTATGTTTCTTAGCCATGTGGGATTGTTTTTAAAAAAAAAATCAAACCAAACGACATCGTTTGTTATGATTTTTTTCAGCCCCAAAAGTTTTTTTATTATACTTATATACTTATATTTATTATTTAATATGTTTTACCTTATGTTGTAGTTGATTTAAATCATTTTGTTTCACTTGATTTTTTTTAAACTTATATATGTTATGACTTGTGATATTTTTATACCTTTTAATATTGTAAACTTAAAAAAAGTGTTATATATATATATATATATTAATATTACTTTGAATATTATGTAAAATTAAAAAAAATTATTTTATATAAAATTCGGTTAAATCGCGGTTGAACCAGTAAACCAGTACCTTCACCGGTTCACGGTCTGGTCCGGTTTTAAAAACATTGGTGATTTTTCAATAATCTTTCAATAGTTTGATTTCCTTTTGTGGTTTGTTTGGTAATACACTTAGATCTATTCATATATACATTTTTTTCGAATTCATATGGTTAGGTTTTTTAATATTTTCCTTGTATGATCCTAAGTAACTAATTTATTGTGTTACTAATTATAGGAATATAACTTTATTATATGTTTAATTTATGATTTTAATTATAAAATTTTATTATAATTTTTGATATTTTTTAATAAAATTAACGATTTTTATCTTATAAAAAATAATAATTTTTAAATAGAGGACAGAGGAGCAAATTTTAGAACTGTTCGCGAATAGGAAAATTAGACCACCAACGTATGGGTGTTTCGTCATCAGATTCTTTAACTTTTCTATATACTGGACCATGTCCTTCGCTATGCTTTGAGAAATTAGAATAAAGTTTAGAATAATATATATTAAAATACAATAAAGTGATTCGTTTTTATAGCATATAAAATTATGATTAAAATTGAATGATTATAAAAATAAATATATATTAGTTGTGTGAGTTTAACACCACTAACATTATTATCTGTGTAATATAAGAGTATATGAGAAATATACTTAAAATTTTAATACACTAATTTTAAGAGAAACTTGAATAATTTAAATATTATAATAAAAAGAATGGTAAAAGAGTATAAGAGGTCCTTGTAATTTTGGGGAAAAAAATGTGGCCATCGTATTATTTGTGGCCCAAAAATTCAGAAAACAAATTAAATGTGGGTTTAGGTTTTTTTTTTTTTTGAAAAATAGTACTTTGTATTAATATATTTTACAAAGCACACCACCACAAGGACCTCATTAAAAAAACCTCCTAAACTTAAATGGAGTAAAAAGAGTGTAGATCTTTGACCAACACTTTTCGTATTAACCATTACGATGCTAACGTAGCGGTTCAAAGTATTAATATGATGGTTCACGGTGATTAATGATGTGACGGATAACATGATAAATGAATTAATTTGATTTTTTAAATTGTTCAATATCCAAATTAGTTCCCAAAATATTGGTTCTACAAACATTTACAACATTAAATTTAATTAATGATCATTATTTTCATAGGATGATTGATGCGTGCACTTCCAATTCTATAGCTAAAGTTGAGATGCATGCAGAGTTTATTGAAGTTGATGTGAGTGGTTCGAATTTGTATTGAAAAATAATAGAAAAAGATGACACATACGAAGTAGACTCAAAAATACTACATAAAATTGAATGTCTACATGATGCGATGTATAAAGAACAAGAAGAAAAATCACAAACGATTAAAGAATTCAATATAACTTTTGACAAGTATACAAACTACAATGACTTAAGTTATAATTTAGCTATATTATCATCTATCAGAAGAAGAAAAAATATTTTTTTTCTTTTTGAAAGACCTTAATTAATAAAAATGTTTTGTCTTCTCTCTTTGGCCACTAAGATTAATCGTGTTGATCTTTTGATTATTGTTTTGACGGAGATCATGAAATATGTAATTGAGCATTTTGTTTTTCAGTTTTTCCAGCTCATAGAATGCACATTTGCTCTTTATAGTACAAATGAATGCCATTTTAAGAATTGATAAAAAAATGGTGTTATTTTAATAACTAACTTTTATATATATTTAGATAAAAGCACCATGAATTATTTAGATTAGAACAAAGCATGTTAAAAGTACAATTGAGTTATCAATGAAATTAGGATGGCTTTTATATAATTATATTATATCAAATTATAAAAGATTCAATATTAAAGTGGTTTAAGGTAATTTTAAAATAATATTTTGATTTTCACAATATAATCAATTCGGTTTGATATGTTTATATTGGATATTAGGTTTGATTTTTCAAAAATCAAGATATTGTATAATAACAATAGTTTTTCTTTTCTTTCCAAATTTGGTCCGAACCTAACTTTTATGACCCAATAATTGCATATATGATAAACCTATTAGTCGTAACAGGTCAAGAGAATGTATGAGAGAAGTGTAGACAGTGAATGAGTTTTGAAGGAGTTCGGTTCAAGAAAAGTTGAAGGCCGAACAATCCCAAAATAAAAAAGGGATTGAGACTTACGCATTGATTTAGTGGGCCAATTCTCAACATCTTTCATGTGTCGATTGTCCTAATTCTCATACAACTCACGGTTGCATCCTTTTCATTTCATTCTTCACAAGTCACGGGTTCAATTGTTAATAAACCATACTTGTACTCTTTTATAAAAAAAATTGTGTAAACTAAGTGCTTAAACCTTTTTCAATAAATATATGTATCTAATGTTATAAACGTTATAATTTTGAGTATTTAGTCCACAAAAGCCATTAAAAAATCCGTTATCTAACACTTGTCACATTTATAAAATTATAAATTTTTTATTTAAAATAAAAACTTAAAAATTAATTTTTTTAAAAAAAATAAAAAAAATATTCTTAAATCACATTTAACCTTTACCTTTTTAATTTTTATTATAATTTGGTTCTTCTCCTTAAAAATAAACCCTCTACCGCCACCATCTTTATTCAATTTTTGTACCTTTAATCCTTTCTTTGATGTCATTGCATTCTAAGTGTGTTTATCATCTATAATAGGTGCAAGGGCCGAGCCAGTCTTTCCCGGATGGATTTTCAATGGGAGAAGTGTCCCAGGTATTAAATCTATGCAGGAATCATCGTTTTTTCCCTTCAAGAATTGCAATTTATGTTGCTGATAATGTCTTGCAATCACACAGGACTTGTTGGGAGATGACTTCAAAAGCCAAGGCTCACATGTCCCTTATAACATAGCTGATTTTTCAACACAGGTATAGGCTCTTAACTAGTATTTTTTATTATTATTAAAACTGTATTCTCAGTCTGTATTATATAAATTATCAAGTTGAGGTTTGTTCAGAATTAGCTTGTAGTTTTATTGGAGATTGCATCACTGGGTCATTTTTAACTTGCTGAGCGTCAATGTTATGATTTAAATAAGGGAAAAGAAAAGTTAAAAAAGGTGTATCATGGCAATGTAACTGGATGTTTCCTGATGGCCTCGAGTTATTAGGAGTGTTGAATATGTTTTGAATAATCTGTTTTCCATAGGTTTTTATCTTTTCTAATTTCCTGCAACTAGAACAAGGAAGTTCTGTTTTGCGTTCCTCTCTACTGGATTGATAACACAGGTTGGTTGATTTTGTGTTTGCTTGCAGGCTTCTCAGAGTGGGTATGCTGTTGATTATGTTACGCAAGGAGCACAGGGTGCATTCTCAGGGAACTTCCTAAACCACAATTCTCAAGCTGGATATTCTCGTTTTGGTTCTGGATATGATTTCATGTCTCAGGTTCCGACAAAGTGCTGTGGTGTGATTAGTTTATGCGCTCTCCCATTGTCTTCCTGAAATGATTCATTTTTTTTCACAGGACTACATGAATCATGGATCACAAGGCTTGTTAACTCAGGTCGGCTATAATGACGCTTCACATGATGATGCATCCCAAAGCCACTTTGGCATGTCTAGTCTCAACCAGCTTCAGTTCCGGGTAGGTTCTTTTATCATTGCTTATTATTAATGGAGAATTATTTTTGACTAAATTGTCAGGTTGGCAATCATATTTGTTCCCTAATTAGGAACTTTCTTGTCAAATAACTGCTAATGGGGTAGTTTTAAGTATTTTCAGCTTATCTGGTTAGAGAACAGTCATACTGTGACATCATTATGTTACATATTTTGACCTTCTTTTCTGTATTAAATGGGAGTGCATATGGCTGGCTATCTATTCCCAGGGCATGATGAATTCTCTTTACTCCCAGCCCTTTTCCCACTACAACACACAACCACTGAACTTGCAGGCTCCTCAACAGAAGCCTCCGCAGGAGCAGGTTTCCCAAAACCAGAAACTTCACTATAATGGTTAAGAATAAACATGCATGTGGACTTTGATGGGTTATAGTCTTTGGAATCAGCAACTTGGTTTATGCTGTCCTTGTTTGCCCGAACAAACACATACTATGAAGTTGAAAAGCGTTGTTGGTTTGAGGTCACCTAAATTTCTGTCCATGACCTGAAAGATCGACGGTGGGAACAAATATAAATGCAGTGGGAGTAAGATGGCTGTGGCCGTTGGGACAATGTGCAAATAGTGGCAGTGCACCCAGGGCTGAGAAAGAAAAGGTGGATATATAACCCCAAATATCTGCTTGGAGGTTTTGCATTTGTTTTGAAGAAATCAAGAGAGCATTTACATGGTAAGGTTTTGTGGAAAGGGATGTGTTTATATGACATATGGGATAAAACCCATTACTGGTAGAGAGGCAGTTTGAGGTGAAAATTTTGTACAGCGCGCTGGGGAATAATATTGCCCGACCCTTTCAGCACTTCCTGAAGTGTAATTATGCTCGTGTTATTTGACAATTTAGATGTATATACCTAGAACATTTATCGAATATCGACATGTACATTATATTTCTAGTTTTGTGATTTTGCATCAATAAAGCACGTTGCGTCTATCGTACCTTAATTTAATATTTAATATACGTTTTATATAACTAGTTAAAGTGATTCAATTTAAGTATAAATTCATGAATATAATAATGATAAATATTACACAAAATTTTAATTTTCATTTCTCAAAACTTAGAAGTTTTCTATACTTTACGGGTGTTTTGATACTGATGTGTTCTAAAAGCATTGCCTTAAATTCACAATAGCGTATTGGAAATTGATCTAGGGCATGTCAACAATCATTTTAAGGGATCAAGTCAAGGGTATGTGGTTTTTCAGATGATATGAAGTTCCAAAAGTTTCGAGGGACTCCAGAGGTTTTAAGGAACTCCAAAGACTATTAGTAGACGGAAAAATGAACATTGAAAGATAATTTAAGAAGGAGATCGGGAGAAGATACAACAAAAATAATCGTAATCTCCAACCCTATTAGTACCTTACAATAATGTAGTTCTAAAATCATCGCGCAAATAATATTTATGTTATTTTCTCACATTATATCAAATACTATTGAATTTAATAATTTGATGCGTAGCCTAAACACATAAGCCAATGACAAAACAACAATTTGATCATCAATTCCTAGATTTGTTTCTTTATAATTTGTCATTGAAACTTTTTTTTTTTTTTGATGTTTATCAACTTTCTAATAATATTTGTAAAGGAATGGATATGAATTTTGAAAGAGCAATTAACGTCGAGGTGATGTGCGAAGCTGCTCAGATCACTAAGTTTTTTTTCGAAGGAATCAACTTGGCAGGTGACAACACTATTTTTTTGGGCAAACAAACAATCCAAATGAGGTTGGATAACAAATTGAAGTGAAAAGGATCTTCTTTGGACGAACATGTAATAAATATATACGCTGTCGGCATTCACTATGTATTTCAAGGTTAAAAATTGTTTACCCATTTGGATACGTGTTTGTTACCATGCAAGTTACATTTATGTTAGTATTTTTTTTTTGGTCTATGATTCTTATTTGTAGTTGTCCTCCCGATTTCTTATAACTTTATCCTGATTAATTATAAATGACATGTATCATACACTTAATTTTGATAAGTGAGTCTCTCAACGAAGATTTTCTACATATACAATGTCTCGTACTTGAGACATGCTTAAATAATATCAGGTTACTTACCATTTTAACCTACCTTATTGTTTTTGTTTATTATTATTTTAATTATGTTTTTGATTTAAAATTTTTGGGTTGGTTTGAGTAAATCGCGAAAGATGTCAGGAAGTGATCCAATTAAGGAGAAAAACGCGTAAACAAAGCTTCAATTTTCTCCTAACCCTAAACCACCACCGAAAGAAAGAGGACAAATGAATGAAATGTCAAAATGCTCATCATCTTTAATTTTATTTTTTTCTCTTTTCAATTTGTCTCATAGTCAACCTCTACAACTAAGAAAACTCGCCTTCCAATTTGCGGTTGTTATAATCAAATTGTAAGCAATGGCCTAATCCACAATAATCAAACCTAAATCAATGATAAAAACTATATAAAAATAGAGAATAAAGAGATAAAGACATCGCATTAAAATACTAATTAGTATCTATTCTTCTTATAAACTCATGATTGAGTTAATTTAACATATTAACCAAATATTGCATGAACCAAGTGATGATTAAGAGATTTTTTGTTATCCTTTGAAGTCCCGAGTTCAAACATCGCACATATAGAAGTATGAGCTTCATTGTTAAAGGATTTGAGTCTTTGAACAGATATTATTTTGTATTCACTTCATATTTATTAAAAAAAACATATTAAAAGAGAATGATATTATTGTCTTTATATTTGGTGTCAAGTGGTATGATAATATTAAAAGGGAATAATCTTTCTTTGGCATATCTTGTATAGTCATGATGAACCAACTCTTTTGATATATTAATTGTCTCGTAAGGTGGCAATCGATTTTACTTAAGTTTGCTTATTATGTTATGTTCATAAGTCTTAAATCGACGATTATAAATTGAAATAATGTAATTGGTCGAAATGACCCCACGGAAAAAGGGGAATCCAACAAATGGCAAACAAAACGATGAGATATAACAATATATATCTTCATTATTCAATCCATTCTCTTTGAAGCATAAAGATATTATCCGTCAAAATATACGACCATAATGAACTTACGTTACATTAAAAATAACATTTTGTAGTGAAAAAAAAAATCCACGTTAAATACTCCCAAAAGGGACAAAAAAAGCTCTCAAAATGTTGCACATACTTAATTGTGACCGATGACAACTGCAACTGCAAGGGTAAGTGTCCCCTAAAAATGGGCCAAACCGAATATCTTTATCCCTCGAAGTTGGTCCCAAAATACAACTCTAACTGCAGTTAGAGTTCAGGTTCTAAAGAAGAAGAAAAAGTCGATAATTAAATTAATATTTTTATTGAAAATATAACTTACCTATTCTATGAATTTCATAGTTAACCCTTATATTTAATGTCTTATTCGTTTTTCTTTTACTTTTATGGTGGAGTAGGGGAACGCTGATTTTCCCCAGAATGCGTGATTTATCTTCTTTAACCAAACTTGATAATCTAAGGTGAACTTTTAGGGGGGGATTTTTAACAAAATTAATTCTCCGCATAGCAACCCTTCCTATGGAAATCATGATAAATATTTATTTTTTACCTCTCGCATAGCCTCGTTATTCTCATATTTTTTTTATTTGAGTGAATGTTTTCTTAACATTTTCAATGAAAACGAGTGCCGTTCATTGAATTTACACTGCTTCGAACATAGATTACGTTTTAAACTATTCGACAAATCAAGTACTTATATGAGTAGTCAAAATACGAGTACCCAATTATCAATATTTCTATTACTTGTGGTGCGATCCATCAAATAGGGGTTAGATTGATATGATGGTGTAACACGTTGAGTCCCATTTGTCCTAGTCAAAACAGAAACTGTGGAGTTCTCAGCTTTGTTGAGCATGCATTCATACAATATGATTTGAGGTAATTATTATAATAAGATAATTAAATATTATTTATATCTAACATATTATACGCAATTAATAAAAATATTAACTTGTAAAAGAAGAAAATAGTTAGAAAGAATTTTTCATATTTAAAATTTTGATGTGATTGAACGATTGAAAATAAAAAAAAATATTGCATAAACATCGTTGAAAAGAAAACAAAAAGGATTTTGGTAAGAAGAAAGGAGAGATGGTGATTAATGAAGCTTCCTCTTTGCTCACTGTTGTTTTTTTGGTATATAATTTGCCGAATTTCGTGCTTGTTTCAAGGTGATGGCCCCAAGCTCCAACCCCATGCAAAACCTATATTATTACACCAACACCCAAACAGATTTCAAAAAACCCCCACCTTAACAAATAAATGAGTAAAAAATATATTTATTCATTCAACTATCCTTATATTTTTATTTTGACCGTCCAACTATTTTTTTTTTTCTAAATCATCATTATATTTATTTTTTGTTACCTTTTGATCGTCTGTCGTTGAAAAAATATTGACGTGATATTTTTTCAATCATTGTTAATTCTTTAACGACGGATAATCAAAATGAGACAAAAATATAAGTTTAATAATTTTAAAAACAAAATAGTTGAAGGATAAAAATGGAACCATGAAATAACTGAATACGTAGTTTTATATAAATCAATAGCTCAGTGCTTTCCTAGATCGATTTGATTCATATCCCAAACCGTGTTGACTAGACTATATGTTTCTAAACTAATGTATTTCATCATTGTTCTTTAACTAATTAAGAATATTCATTTTTTTTACATTAATGTAGAATTATCACCATAATTTCAAGCTTTGCTGTATGATTATTCTACATTAAGAAAATATTAGATATTAATTGGTAACAGAATGATAACATCGGTTTGCTGGATGGTTCTACAAAGTATTTATCTGGATTTATTTGAAATTTTCTAGATTATTACAAAGTAATTATCCAAGTTGTTGATTGTTTGCTGTCAAGAGAAAATACACTTTGGGATTTTTTATTAAATTAAAATTCAACCTACTACAAAAACAATAAAACATGGTTTAAAGTCAACAGAGTTGGCCTGCTGTTCTAATTCATATGAGAACATTGGTTTCATAAAATACAATCCCGTCGAAATCAAATCGCTCAGCTTCGTTGAATCTTCAATAATCTCGAAATATCCATTTCATCTAAGCCAATAATTAAGGAATATTTATGGGTTAATTTCCTTAATTTTATGTGACATTGTTAAATTATGATTCATATTTTAAACAGTTAAGGATATTAAATATAATCAAACTTTTTTTAAAAATAATTAATTTTTTGAGTTTATTTATTCAATTAAGTTCTTATACTCGAAAATTTCATCAATTCATCCTTTTAATCAATTTTAATCATTAAATATAACATTTTTTAGATCAGTTTGTGACACGAGTATGTAACAATGTTTTCGCATGACATTTATATAAGTCTTATTATTTTTAAATAATTTTAAAATATTCTTTTAAAATTTTTGTTAAATACACAAATATCATACAACAAATAATTTATTTATTTATTTCGATTTAAGTACGTAATTGATTTTTTTTGTTGCTGTGAGAGTTTAATTGGGTGTAAAAAAAACTTTATGGATTAATTATTTTTGTCAAAGGTCAAGAACTTAGACACCCTTAAATCTAATTTAATCTGATCTTCAAGTTTTAGAACATTTTAATTAAGTCTCAGAATAGCATTATCAAATCGATAAGGTTAATCAAATTGATCTTTGGACATTAAGCGCTTAATCAAATCGAGCATGAAGTGTATTTAAAACAATATCGTATTGTAAACACGTGTGTAGGGATAGAAACGAGATCCGAATCCTACGAGTTCTGACCCGATTC